ACCGTCCAGTGTTGGACATCGAGAGGTCAAACCATGAGCCGATAAGTTTTGCAAGCTATTTCTTCAAGCAGGTTGATCTAGTTTATTGCTAACCAGTCGGCTCGCCGGCTAACGCCGGCGCGCCTCCTTCTGATACGGCCCGGCTGCGCCGGGCGGCGCGGCTTCGCCGCGCGTATTTTCTTTCACATATTTCTAGACTCAACTGATATCCGCCTTTTGTTCTGTACTCCACTTTTTTCCGGTGTCTGAAGTACTCTTGAGCTATTTTACAGATTCTTCGTCTGGACTCCGCCCCTCGGAGCAGGCTCCGCCCCCAATTTTGTGCCCACAAATCCTCATAGGCGGGACCTCAGTGGCTGACCTTAATCCACGTTTTTTCAGGTCTTTGAAGTGCTTTGGGACGGTTTTAGAGAATTTTTCGTCTGGCTCCGCCCACCTCGGGGGCGGCCGCGCCCAACATAGTTGCCCCAATTTCTCAATTCCAAACCCTCTGCCTTGACTTGATACCCACTTATTTCCGTCGTCTGGAAGGTGCTCTGAAACTATTTTTACAGATTTTTATTCGTCGACTCCGCCGAACCCAGAGGCAGGCCCGCTCCTGACGCTTCAGGTTGCGCCCACAGTCTCACCGGCGAACTATTGCCGATCTTGACGGCACTTTTTCCCGGTCTTTTTGCAGTTGCACTTAGGAACGAGCCAGCTACAAACTTTTTTAAAATGAGTATCCTGCGGTTTAGGGCAAGCTCCGCCCACTGTGGGCGGATCTCTCAACATTTTGAGCGTGCCCAATACTCGCCAAATATTTATATTTGCCATTGTTCTTACCAGCTGAGCTTTTGAGGCTGTCTGTTACACTTTCGCGAACCGAAACGAAGTTTTTATGCGAATCCACCGCCCACCCTGAAGTTTCGCCCTGCCCTTTTGGATGTGGTCTGCCCACGTTATTCTGGAACTGTCCATTTTTTCCCATCTCAGGATTGCTCCGGGAAGCGGAATTATGAACATGGTTTTTCTGTGTAACCCAAATTCAGGCGAGTTTGCTCCGCCCACTCCAACGGCGGGGTTTCGCATTTAGGTTACAAGTGTGGCTCCCTTTATTTACTTGTGCCATTGCTCTTACCCAATCCCATTCTTGACCCGACTTTACTAAGTCGTTCTTCAGCGTCGAACCGGAATGTTCCGGACAAAAACAAACAAACAACCAACAAAACAAAACAAACGAAGCGAATTATATATATGGAGTAATGCTTTTGCTAAAAATAGAAACGCAACACTTCCTTAACTAGCCGACACAGTAAAACTCTTCACAGCATAATCTATTTCTGCTTGTTTCCTGGTGGAAAAGATTTATTAGAAAATTCTAATTTCTGAGTTTGGGAGTGTTTTACCAGGGAGGTTTACGGAAGTGCTTTCTGATGTAATAAGGTTCATTTCCGAGATGTAAAGTTGATGTCTCGAATTTGAATTATTGTAGCGGTACAACTTCTGCCAATAGGAGGTCCAGATCGAATACCCTCCATAGGCAAAAATAGCCTTAGCTCTCACGCTCTGCGTGCACGAGAAAGAGTAGCGAAAGGAAAAATTGGAACAAGTTTTGAGACTGCCTTTTCATTTTCTCGTTTATTCTCTTCGAGCCGACTTTATGAGGAGCAGTAGCTGTTATGAGGCCTGCAATAGCTGTATTGACGGCATTAATAACATAATCATATTACCATTTGGCAGAGTGGAAGTAGCGTAGTGACAAGCAGCGCCAATTACCAAGTGTGCGATATAGGGTCATAGTCCGGATCGGTTCTCGCCCAGGTCAATCGAGCCAGGCGTCCCTGTGAGCTACTTCGCACCAGACTCGTCAGAAAGGATGCAAATACTGCACTCTAAATCGGCTGCCCCTCCCCCCGCGGCCCCTCCCATAAGTAATTGTAGGCCATAGCACATCTGAAAGTCATCCAATTCTAAGCGGAAGTCGAATACATGTTCCTTTCTAGAAGGTGACTCTTCGACAGTGAGAACTCTTATGCCTTGAGATTTACGATGCAGTAAAGTTCAAAATCGTTACGCCGATCGTCACAGCCTTGCTATGCTCTTTGGCGGGCGGTCACAAGTTAGTCTCACACGGCCTACCAAACAAAACCTCCTGCTTGCCCTGAGTTTCTTCCCCTTGTTAATCTACATCCTTTATTGCGCTCAAAAGTCTGTTTTTTTTTTCCAGGGACTAACCAACGATGAAAGGAGCCAGTAACAACATGTCCCCTATCGCAATATTCTTGACCATTCTGCCTCTGTAACGACTTCAGCTAACCAACTCAAAACCAACTCAAAATCCAGTCTTGGATAAGCTTTTTCAGGCGTTCTAAAAGGCTTTTTTTCGTCAAAAATGCTAAATTTTGTGGCTTATAAAAATTGCAGACCTGAGGGGCCCACAAAAAACACTAAAAAAGGCAACCGGCGTTTCGCGACCCCTTGCCAGCAAGACCAAAATCTACATCCATCACCCGAGAGAGCCGAGACCCATACCCCAGTGCTGTTTTGCCCGCGCCTCGGGCCAAACGGGTGCGCCGATTCAAGAGCAAGAAGGCCGAGAACACGAAAAGGGGGAGAGCGGGGCACCGAATGAAAAAAGCGCTTGGGGCTTCTCTGCGGCTTAATCTGCCATCCGCGCCGGCGGCATTTTTCGCTGTTCGAACATCTATCCATGTGCGTTTTAGAGCGGCCTTGATTGCGCCGCGCGGAGCGAGAAGCTTTTCCTTACCCGCCCACCTAATTCTCGGAGACGGACAAGCACAATCGCGTAATGTGCTCGCATTTAATCGCGCGGCGAGTATTCCAATGGGTGATGCGCTCGCAGAAATCTGAGTGTGCATCCACTTTAGTCGATTGGATGGCGCGAAACAGTCACAATATTGCCAAGCTAGATAATAAGCCTCCATACAAGATGGTGAAAGCACTTGATAAATTTTTTCGTTTTTCTTTGACATCGCAGGCGTTTCCGAAAGTCAGTCTGAAGCGGCCACAAGTCACGCCATCGTCTGTCGGGCAGCAAGGATCGCCTCCACGCACGCCCGCAGGCAGAATATTAGACCATCTTCCGATCCACATACACCATGACTCAGATTCGAAATTAAGCAAGAAGTTAGTGCGCGAACAACAGGAGCCAAGTAAGCTTCGCACGCAGTAGTGCTGTCTTCTCGTATTTTGGACTGCGAAAGGAGTACATCTTCTATGCTTGCGGGCAGGATTACCATGCCCAAGAAAGGCGCCTGACAAATGAAGCGGGGCGGACCGCTTTGAATTTAAGCCGACCACAAAATATATCCAGTGCACTTGCGAAGAAGTCGTGATCTGAGTTCTAAAAAGGCGCGCAACTTGGTGGCTCAAAACGCGTAACTGGCAACCACCTTTCGTATAGGGCGCCGCGGGTCCAGTGTCAAACAAAGCGTACTCTTGATCACGAAATGTAAAAAAAGACAAGCGCCTCGTTAAAATCGTCAATTGCTCGTACCACATACTCCTGTATCACAGTAGAATCGCGAAAGCAAAGCAAAAAAAAACCAGTGCGCTACAGAACGCGTCCCGGATTTGAATATAAAAAAATATGTATGCGCAGATATTTTCGCTAGAAACACGACGTGAGAAATGAAAGCCTAGGCTCCATCCGGACACTTGATAATTATATTCCTCCTTAGATAACGATACAACGAGATAGAAAAAAAGAAGAACGGACGATTGGGAAGCGGAACCAAAAAACTACCATGGACCGATCGCAGCACAGCAAAATCACTAATGATCAACGTAGCAAGCTGAGAATACTTCTGCAAACGTTACTCACAGTAACGCCACCATTTGCAAACACACAAGAAGGCAGAGAATTTCAGGCGCCAGGTCAGTTCTGTTGTCTACTTCGAATAAGTTAATTCAATCTCTCACTCTTCGTGAAAAAGGCTTCGCACCCCGTGAGAGCACCATCGCAATCCGTAGCGCAGTTGTGGTCAGCTTTCCCCAGAAGCGAGCATATCCGACTTGGCGCGCTGCATGTCACGCTAGCTCTATAAAGCACTCCCTACTGCGTGCGAAGAGACTTCATGCAAGTGAAGAACAGGGCTAAGCTGACGCTTCACAAAAGATTCAGCAAGACAATTGTGAAAAGGGCCCATTTAAAAGGTATCGAGCGTATAGATGCCCACCGACCTTAGAATCGCGCGTTAGCGAAAGCAGAAACGAGTCGAAGGGGTCGAGGTTCACGAGGACTCGCTTGTCAAGCGCGGCACGTGCTGCTCGATGTGTGGTCCAGTTGTATTCTCTTCATCGATGCTGGAAGCGAGCCAGCAGTTGAAGGGAGAAGGAAATGGAAGAGAGAAGAAAGGAAGAAAAAGAAGGAAGGAGGAACAAAAAAGGCAGGAAGAGGGAGGCTCTGCGGTTAACAAGTTTCCTACGACGGCCCCGCAGCAGTGAAGATCTCTTCCTTTTAAAGCGCAAACTTTGCGAATCACCCGTAGAACCTCCTGTTACTAAATTACTGGGGACAAAACAGAATATTCGCATTACTAGACAACGTGATTTACATTCATAGCAAAAACAAAGGTCACGTGAGGTGACTTGACAAACGCGCACTGAAATCGGACCCACTAGGTTACTCGTGGGAGGAGCTATAGGAGCGCAACACGGGCGTTTGTAATCCGTCACGTGGTCGTTGAAACCCTGTCAACGACAGAACTGAGATCATCATTGTTCGCTGACACTCTCATATGCGCGCTACGCGGAACTGTTCGCTCATGGTACTAGAAAATCACAACTGCCACAAATATTGTTGACAAAAAAACCAGGTTCAAGGGTACTTCCAGTGGCATCAATACCGCACAGTTTGAAAGATTTCCGAAAAGAAACATACATATAATTTTATTTCCACAACGAGTCTACAGGAAGCTATAACCGAAGTAACAATATCACAACGTTTCCTAAACGACTGGCACCACACAAGCAAATTTGCACAACATCATAACATCTCAGAAATCATCAACTGTATCCAGTTTGATCGTTTCTCCAGGCTTGAATGGTGGCATACCTAGATAGGGGCAGGTCGCACAACGGAAAGCATCACCCAGTGCACACTGAAAATAAGTTCTGAATGATTTATACCTAGTGCGATGTGAGAAATAGTTCAAAGAGCTATAATGATAACAGTCAAACGATTTAGAAGGCACAGGCATTTAGGCAAATACAAAGACACAAAATGGATTTTCTGGCTGACAAACTGTTTCCTTCACAACTGAGTTCGTCTTGGCTCCAGTAGCACGTATTTTGCGAGAGAAAATACTCAAGCCGTATGATCTACTTACATTGCCACATCCCTTGCTACGAGGTTGAGCTATTTTTTCCGCTTCCTCCTGTTCTGCCAATCCACAAGTACAATTCTTACAGGCACGTCTTTTCTTGCCCTCGACTGCTTCACCGCAACTGGCTGAACAAACACAATCTGTACACATATTAAAAAGAAACTGGCCAGAAACCAGAATCAATACACTGAAAGTATTTACTTGAGCGGTAGATGCTCATAAGTGCTGATTTCACCTTGCAAGCTACTGCGCTATAACTTCGCTTTAAGATTTGTTATTTTTAGTTCTTCGTTATTTTTATTTATTACTACATTATTATTATTATTACTATTATTATTATCATTA